ATTTCAACTGAGGTCAATGGAGAGTGCTAGTGGCATTTGTCAACATTGGGTGGTATGCCCACCTCAGCTTCCACTTTGGAGTTATTTTCTTTGGGAACAATCATAAGTTAACATCAATTGCAATTATGAAAGAGCAGATTTCTAAATTTCAATCGATGTGTTGGCATTATGAAAAAAAGGGTGGGTCTTGTATCGCCCGCCAATCGAAACTCTTTGCTGGAAAAGTGTCCCAGACATGAAAGACTTCAACCTGTCCCTTCTTTCATTGAAGGCTGACATGCCTAGAACTCGCACTTACCCAAGCGGTCAACGCTAACACTGGCTTCAAGTTCACTTGCCTGCGAGTGAAGAAGAGAAGCTTCCGCGACAGTGGACATTACTGATCTGAATCTCTGATAGAGTATGAGAGCGTTCTTTGTTACCGCAGTAAAATAAATGTTAAGTAACCGGTAGCACATCCGTGCATCACACATCCTTGCCGGATCCGGAGAGGGAAAGCCTCCCCCAGAAACAGGGCGAGGTCGCCCACACCGGCCCTCATCTCTGGCCAGTCGCCGAGGTCTGGCAACCTACTAGAGGAAGAAAGGAAGAAAAATAAAAGAAAAAATTAAAAATTCAAAAAATTCAAAAAACTATTAAGATATTATTTTAAAATGTTCACGTCGGTGCCGCCCGCGCCGATATAGGACGGACAGTATCCATATCAGCAATTTCCAGCCAAAATTGATCGGAAGAATTGAATTGGCACAACTGCAAAATGTTTATGACTCAATTGACAAAAAAAAAAGTTAAGGATTGAATTGGCACAATTACAATAAATTTATGATTTTTTTGGTAATTCCCCAAATAATTCGCATCCCATTTCATATGAATTTTTCTTTTTTGAATAAAAATGCGAAATTCTCTATCCATATTATATATTAATATGGAATATAACGTCTCGATGATGGTTTTCTAATTGTCATTGTTACGTGACATACATAGATTTTACAAGTAATATCGAGAGAAAATAATTGAAAAAAAAAAAAACACTAAAGAGAATACTTGATGGGAAGAGTCACATTTTCTAATTTGCGACATCGAAACTCATTAACATCAATGGTATCAAACGAGGCGATCATCAAGGAGAGGGACGAATTCTGGTCGCAAGAAGAATGATCGACGCCCTTTAAGAACACGGCGAATGCACACGCAACACACGATGGCATCGCACGCACATGGAGTTTAATGTGCGCATCGAAAACATGAGAAAACAGTGGCTTTGCAGCCAAACAAAATCTGCGGAAATCACGGACAGACAGGTACATCTCATTTAATAGGTTCCTTCCTTCCCGCAAGAGTGATGATGATTTGGTCGTCGACTCTTTTAATCGACCTTTTGGACAATTCTATTATGGGGTCAAACGTATGACGTCCGTGTGTATTAATTTGAGTTTTTCAACAGTGATTTCACCTGGCCGTAGGGGTGATTGATGGATGCAAATTGGCAGATAGAATTCACGGGACCAATAATAATTCTTGGAATAAAAAATTAAAAAGAAGGGGAATTAGATTGTTGTAGAATCTGTCATTCAGCAGCTTTTGGTAAGCAAGGTTTTCATGCACGTAATCTCTGATTTGTCATTAGCTAATCGCATCTTCGAGAGGTGGTGACGTCTTGAGGGGTAGGAGGCTGGATTTGGTGAACTAAGATTAGTTTCAACGACTCCCATTGGCGGGACGTTGATGGATCTGTCATCTGGTAACTATAGAAGGTTGACCAAATTACTTTTGTGAGTCTACCCACTCAAAATCTTGTGCAAGTTTTCACCATGTTTTGTTGTAGTTTAGCTTTCGTAACACGCCATGTCAAGATTAATTTTTACGCGGAAATCAATTATCAACTTACCGACTGAGAAGCGCGTGTCGGGAAATTAACGCGAATTCATCAAAGTTAAACGACCAACCTTCTGTCAATCTTGTGCCGATAGTCGCTTGATTTGCTAGTTTGAAACCGAATCGAATTCAAAATCAATCTTCCAACCTAGCTCTTCTTTTCCTCTTATAACAAGCCTATCCGAAATCTTCGGCTCCACTCACTCTCGACGATGCACGCAACAGTCACGTTCTCGTGTATGCTGAAAAGCTCAAAGAATTCTTTCCTAGTTTTATTTTTATTAACTCTTATACAATATAAATGTTGCACCATAAAGTGATAGAAATCTCCTGCTCTTTAAATATGCTTTCGGGAGTTTATTAAACATGTTTTTGGGATTCAATACCCCTCCCCTCTATCTATATACAAATCTTCCAGCTTCAATGGTGATCGCAAGAGCTCTGGCGTCTCGCTGAAATACGAAAATTTGTTATTTCAAATGTTAGATCTGTATTTATTCAACCTATTTTGGTTGTCTCCTTACAACGGTAGTGTAGAGGAAGTTGAACTTAGGCTTGCACTGTTAATTGGCAACGCTGTAGTTATTGGAGATGAAATTTCTGATGTGTACTCATCACTAACAAAAATGCGAGAACCAGTGATCGGTCATCGATTATTTTGCTTAACAGATCTGTTGTTGTGGAACAAGTGTGTGTTTAACCCTACTGGTGCTCGCTGAACCACGAAGATTTGTTCTTCCAAATGTTAGATCTATATTTGTTTAACCTATTTTGATTGTCTCCTTACGACAATGGCATAGAGAAAGTAAAACCTAGGCGCCACTGCCAACTGACAATGCTATAGTTGTTGAAGAAGGAATTTTCGGCATGTGCGTGATGAAGATACGAGATACAGTGATCGGTCATTGATTATTTTCCTTGACAGATCCGTTCTTGTAAAACAAGGGTGTGTTTAACCCTGCTGATACTCTGTTAATCCTTCTTGTTATCTGGATTTGGCTTTATTCTGTAGTATTCTGGGATTTGCTCGGTTTCAATTTGCTATTCCAAGAAATTTATGTACTTCCTATGTATCTTTTGAGCGATGAATACATTAATCTTTCAACCAAAAAAAAAAAAACCCTAAAAGGAGAAGCGAAAGTGACTTTGTGTTGGTATGTGACGATCCCATTTTCGGTAGGTCCCAACTTCACTTTTGTCTCACTTATACGGGGAATCAAAATCACACCAAGGCTGGTAGAGAACACAGGACCAGCAATACCCCATCTATTTATGAACCTCTTTTTCCCTCACCTAACGAAAAAACAAATAAAAATTTAAGGACCACCATTAAAAAAAAGGCATCTTTGTAACTTTGAGGCAAGTCAAATTAGTAAGTATAACATCAAGCTTCTCTAATCTCTCTCAATTTAATCTATCTGTTGCTAGTGATTTGGTAAGAACTTACCATAAAAAAGAAAAAATTCACATTCAAAATGAATCTACCTACTTAGGCAGCTGCTTTCAGATAGGAAGAAAACCTGCCCTCGTTTCCTAATTAAAAGCCTTTTGGCTTTAAGACTATATAAAACCATAGTGGACCTTAGCAGGTCCTTAAAAGGCTCAAAGAGAGACGGGGGAAAGAACTCCCCGGTATGGTGGAGGGATCTCCTCATAAGTTCTCTCCTTAATCTCTCTTAAGGGAAGAAAAATATTTGGAGAGAACTTATGAGGAGATCCCTCCACCATACAGGGAAGAAAAATATTTGGAGAGAACTTAGGAGTCTCTTGGATGGGGAAGGTAGACTCCACGTCAGCTTCGGCTGGCTATCTCTAGGTAGGCTAGTATAGTAGCTACCCGTGCCAGGGATGACAAAAGGAAAAGTCTTGACTTCCTACAAGTTTGCCTTTGCTTCTCACGGTGTTCTTAACCGACATGCAAACCTGTACCCCCGGTTAAGAACACTGTGCGAAGACAACCTGCCCTCGTTTCCTAATTAGTACCCTTTTGGCTTTAAGACTATATAAAACCCTAGGGATCAGCTTTTTTTTGTCCATTACACCCACATGTTCATAACTCGCTTTCTCTCTCTCTCATCAATGAAGCTCATGCATGCACGGTTCGTTCATGAGTTACGTATTTTCTTGGCTGGCACTGCGTGCACACCTGTTTGGTCAGGGGAAGAATATGCAGAGAGAGAGAGAGAGAGAGATGTGAGTTAATTTAAAGAGAATGATTAAGTATTTGTCTGTTCATAGACCTCCGTTACTTCTTCTCCGATCAACCAAATTTACTTCGGTTTATTCGATTCATTCCAGGTGATAGATACAGAAGGGTATGAGGCCTATGTACGCTGAAAGACACCAAAAGTGTCGCGTGATATCCTTAAGCCGTGGTTGCGAAATGTCAAAAGCGGACTAACATGTCGTTTGCCAAGACCTGTTTGATTCGATTGATAGGCTAGTGTCGGCAAAATCCATATCGAGCATTTGCTCTGTGAGTGTTCTCCACCTTTGGCTGAACATTTTTGTTTTGATTTAGTTTGTAAAGTGAGTCCAGTCTTCACATATTTTGTACAAGAGAGAGAGTGGTTGGAATAGTGTCTGGCCAGAAAAAATAGCAACTATATTGACGACATCCATATATGTTCCTGATTCATGCAACACAACTGGTTTTGTTTAATGCTACAATGCCCGATCTTCAATCACTTGCATAACTATTCCAATATTATACTAAGCTCCAAACTTCAACGCTTAAATGTCATGTGGGAGCACAAGTCAATGCCAACCTCTTATCCTCAAGCCTAACCTTTTAAATATTGTCGAAATAATTCATCAAGTTTAGAGCGAGAGAGAGAGAGAATTGTGTGCAGTGGAGGTATTGTCTAGACCACATCGAACCCCACGAAAGACAAACTTCTCGAATAATTATATTGCAGTGATCGATTCTATTTAGCGCATAATTCATGAGTTTATACAGTATTTTTTCATGCATTTTGAAATGCAGATTATGGGGATGGCTAAGAGAGCAACTGGACTGAGGTCTGGATTTGGGTTGGGTAGGACCAAGCTGTGCCCAGTTGCAGGGTAGTGTAACTATTCAGCAACCCATTAAAAGCCCCCTCCTCAAGCTCTCTCTACTTACACTACAACAACGCCACCCCTATTATTGAGCCATCAATATCTTCCCCTTCTCTCTCTCTCTCTCTCTTGTGCAAAATGTAATATCAACCTTCCAAAAAGACACAAGCAGACAGTTTTTCTTCCTTTCTTTGTACTCTCCCTCTGAGAACTGAGAAAAGAAGCAGCAACTCTCTCTCTCTCTCTCTCTCTCTCTCTCTCTGAGGCTGCAATGGCCATCCAAAACACAACCCTCCTCCTCTTTTTGTCTCTTCTCTTATCCTCCACAGTAACTATTTCCACATCTGCCGCTGCATTGCCAAGAGAGCAAGAGATGGACAGAGTCTCAGCACTCCCGGGTCAGCCCCCAGTGGCATTCTCCCAATTCTCTGGGTACGTCACCGTGAACGAGCAAGAGGGTCGGGCTCTGTTCTATTGGTTGACCGAGGCTACTTCCTCTCCTGAGAAGAAGCCTCTCGCTCTCTGGCTCAATGGAGGTCAGTTCTTTCACCATACATAGTAAACAATTCTGGCGTTTATTTTCACTAGGAACTTTAGCCATAGCTTCTAAGCTTAGTGTTCTTTTGCTAGTCAAAGCAATGAAGTGTTGTTCTGCTGAATACGAGCAAAATTACACCAAAAATTCACTTTATTATCCTCCGCTCACTTTTTGTCTGATTCCAGTTTCCAAGAAAAATTCAGCGGTCTCCATCCATGTACTTTGTAATGTCTTGCTTTATCTTTTTGGTTTTGTGAAAGGATTTTCAAGCATTTTGATTACTCCAATAGAACAATGAGCGTCTGCAGACAGCTATGGTTCGATCCCTCAACAAATATGCAACCTATTCACAGTTCATCCCAACTGTACCTCCTCATCCTCGGCACGTGTCACCACCCTCGCGTGCCCCCCTCTCTCTCTCTCTCTCAAAGTTTCCAACTTTATGACAAAAAGGAATAGTTATAAACACGTTATTCACATAAGGACCCTGAAAACATTCCCACGTAAGCTTTTCATCTCAATACGCATGCAATCTTCTGCTTCCTAACCTCCTGTTGTAAGAATCACCTATCAGTACAACGATAAAAGAAGCTATAAAAATTCGATCTTGTTTTCTCCATCAGGGAAAGCAAGAACCACTCGTGTCCACATATAAACAAAAGCGGGGTAAATGACATTGATAAGAGAAAAAGAAATTGTCTAGGCTGGAAAAATACAAAATCAGAGAAAACAGTGAGGAAAAACCCACATGGGTCCTCGTGATCACTCACTGTCTGCATCTTTTTAGGGTTTTATTCCTTCCACGACTGACGTTTATTCCCCCCAAAAGCTAATGAAAAGCCTGCCTGAAAGTTTTTTCGACCTTTTCTCGAGAGCTCTCTGTGTTGTAAGGAAGAAGCAGACATCATATGACCCAACAAAAACACAACTCAGAACAACCCCCAAAAAACAAAAGAAGCGGAAAAGAAAAATCCCACCTCTTTACAGTGTCTGAGCGACCATGTCATGAAAATTTTTTCCCATGTTGTCGCTTCCAATGGATGATACCATTACCCAGTGTTTCTGTACCTCCGAAAGCATGCGCATTCGGAAATGATGACCAGTTTGGACATGGGGCCCGTCTTTTTTCTTGCCCTTATAAGAGAGAACTGCAAAGATTAGAATGCATTTTCCGAAATGGTATAAGAGAAAAAAGAGACTGCTAAATGAGTTTTTAAGTAAAACCAAATGTCATCGGCTTTGCTCTTCAATAGCAGAAGCCGACAATTCATGGAAATAAAATACATTGGGAAAATTTGGGTGTATAAGCTTTGGTAGGTGTTGCATGGCAGATTTACATTTACGAAGGGGACATTGAATGCGGTTGACCCTGAAAGGGATGGGTCTTGATGTTACGCAGTCGTCGTATTCAAACTTTAGAGGCCTTTTTTAGGTTAAACTACTGGTGAGAGCTGTCGCGGTTGGTAGTCATTTAAGGCAGTTGGTTTTACTGTATGGCTGAGGGCGACTCCAAATTTCGCCGGCGGGAGATCTTGGCGAGAATTGACGACAAGCTCCGATTAGTCTAATCACTGTGTTTTAGCTTACTTCTATGCAGGTGCTGCGGTCTTTGTCAACACATTTGCTTTGGAAATTGTTTCCAAAGTTATGGATTATGATGATATAACATTGATTAGAGTACTTAATTAGCTTGCGCAAAGTTGGGAGCCAGACTTGGTAACCCGTTCAGATTCGTTCTTGGCTGCTTATGCTTGTCTCTAGACAGGCAAAAACTTCATGGTCTGTCAATCTAGCAGGGCTTTCTCGATTTACCGATTATATTGACCCAATTTGTCTCTCATTGTTATCATGAAATGAGTATATCTTACTTAAGAAACGTTGAATTGTATTCTAGGGATGATGCGTTGTGTTATACTAAACTAGATTAAGTAGTTTTTGGGTTTGGGGGTTTTTTCTTTCTTTTTGTCTCTTTAACATAATATTTTTGTTGGGTCCTAAATAAGACATCAGAATGGTTGACCGGACCTGGTCTCCCTTTTCAATGCATCGAACAACTACCAAACCTAGATATTTAGAGACTGCTGATAGCATCGAAACCTAGGGTGGCGGAGGGATTAAGGTTTTGGTACTAGAGTTCATAGTCCCCTTCACGGATTTAGCCATGGTGTGAAACGGGGACTTAGTTGACCACATTGCTCAACCTCTGCACATGTATGTGGACTCTGACTGATTGAACTGTGACTGATTGAGCTGCAACAACTCACCTTTATTCACAGGGCAAAGACCCACATAAGTCCGTAGTTTCTGCTCCACTACACGAATCGGGCCACCTTGTGTGGTTGGCGCATGCCAACAGCAGTGCATGCCGAAGTTGGTCCCCATTCATCATTTGTCCTGTGAAAGACATTGTAGGCTTGACATCTCAACGTCCTGTATGGTGGCACACTGACTGCTGTGTGTTGGTCTTCCGAGTCTATGGCCATGACCTCAACTTTCCATCGACCCATGAATGAAAAGAACAAAAAAGAACGCAAAGATGTAACCTCAATTTTAGATTATGCACATTTCATAAAACGTCCATAAACTTATGTGGCACCACATGTATTGTAAACTATGATTGATTTGATTTGATTTGTCTCCCATAAGTTCACGGCGAACGGCCTTTCAATCTTTGTATGATCTGAGATTGCAGGACCAGGCTGCTCATCTGTCGCATACGGAGCGTCTGAGGAAATCGGGCCATTCCGAATCAACAGGACAGGTTCATCCCTCTACATGAACAAGTACTCGTGGAATACAGGTATGAGGTATCCTCATCTTGCGATCTAACACTTGGGAATTTGAAACCTTTTATTTTCAATGACATAGAGTTAGGCCAAAGCAAAAGGTGCGAGAAATTTGTTTGGCCTAATCCAGCAACACTAAAAATGATATCGTGACATGATCTGCAGAGGCAAATCTTCTCTTTCTTGAATCCCCAGCTGGAGTTGGTTTCTCCTATACAAATACCAGCTCCAATCTCAAAGATTCTGGGGACAAACGAACAGGTGATCATAAATGTTTTAATGCTGACATACTAAAACAAATCTTCATTATTAGCTCTAAACATTAGAGACTAATTAAGAGTCGCCAATTCTTGTGACGCAGCTGGTGATGCTCTTGTTTTTCTAATAAGATGGATGTCCAGATTCCCTCAGTACCAACATCGTGACTTTTACATCTCGGGGGAGAGCTATGCGGGTAATTAACGGATTCGTCCACGGCAAGTCTCACATTTCCTTACGGCATAATTCCCCATTTTGACTGAAAATTTATGTTTGCTTCCTCTTTGGTTGGATTCGCGCTCAGGGCATTACGTTCCCCAGTTGGCGAAGACAATTCATGACTACAACAAACAACATTCTTATCCCATCATTAATCTCAAAGGGTTCATTGTGAGCTCCAGTTGACTCCCAAATCTCAAATCTATTTCCACTTTTTTAATGGCATCATTTTCTTGGAACGTCTCTCTAATTTGGACGTACGTGCGTAATACAATGCAGGTGGGAAATGCAGTGACCGACAACTACTATGACAGCTTAGGAACAGTTGCATATTGGTGGAGCCACTCCATGATCTCAGACGCCACCTACAAATCAATCCTCAACAACTGCAATTTCACATCTGACGACTCCTCCAAGCAATGTGATGATGCTGTGAACTATGCCAGGAACCATGAGTTTGGCAACATCGACCAGTACAGCATCTACACACCCTCTTGCTTGTCCTTGCCCAATAGCACTATCAGGGTCAAGAACACCCTCCTGCGACGGCGTATCTCGGGTTACGATCCCTGCACAGAGAACTACGCCGAGAAGTATTATAATCGGCCCGACGTGCAAAAGGCCTTGCACGCGAACATTACGGGGATTCCTTATAAGTGGACTGCTTGCAGGTTATTTATTCAATCCGTCTTGGTCATTCTAACTCTCTTCCCTTTTTCTTTCAAATATCGGAGTCTTTTATGTTGCTTGTATTGCGTGCTGAGCAGTGATGTTCTGATCAAGAATTGGAAGGATTCTCAAAATTCAATGCTACCAACATACAAGGAGTTAATTGCAGCTGGACTCAGGATCTGGGTGTTCAGGTAAATTGATTCTTCCTTCTATTCCCCTCGTTTTCACTGCGGAGAATTAAGCTTAACATTTTTATTGCCGTCATAAGCAATTGAGAGCCGTTGTTGCTATGCATTTTGGCGGTACGTGGTATCTAATTCATTGTACGGGCCCTTTAACAATTAAGCGTGCTACAGTTTTCCGATAACACTTTTTAGAAAATGACAAGAGCTAATTGCCCCCAGCTAAAAACAGCAGTTTTGACCAGTCATTAATCATGCTGTGAGACTGAGACAAGATTTATGGAAAAGAAAATTCATCTATCTGTCTTTACCGATTCTTTACAACCAGTGACTTTTCACTTCTGTCGTACTTTGTGATTTCACCAGAGATTCTTCCTGTTTCTTAGGGGAACATTCTTAAAGCATAGATTTTCACTGCCTATGTTCTTTAGAACATTTGATTTCAGCTTTACGAAAAGAGAAATTGTTCTTCTTTTATGGCTTTTGTTCACGCGTCTCTTTCTTCCCTCTTTGAATCATAGAATACCACAGGGTATAATAGCGTGCATCAAATAAGAGCCCATATTAATATTCCCGAGCCTACAAAAACTTTGCGGGAGGAATGAAGATGAACGCCATCCAGGAGTTATTTTTATAGACAATAATTTTCAGGAGCCTTTTTCTCCTTCTTCGTCCATCATCCATGCAGAAAAAGAAGGATTGGACTGAGCATTCATGGGTGGCTTGTGGAAATAGTGGAAACCTGCCTCTTGATCTTGAGTCTTGAAATCAACCAGGAACAAAAAAAAATCAGACTATTGTGGAAAGGTCAATATCAGAATTTCGCTGTGTTGATTGGACTATTAACAATCTCTTTAAATGATCTTTGGGGGAGTTTTGGACCAGCAGGGGCTGATTGGACAGACAACAGTCTTTAAAGGGTTCTTGATTGGTCTTAACTTTGGATTGAGTGTTTGAACATAATCTTTCCATCACAGGCATTTATCTGATAGATTTCTTCTGGAAAAAGGGCTGTAGTTTCTGCACTAGTTTGCATTTTCTCACCTTGAATTCATGTCACCTGATTTTCCATAGTATATTTACCCAATCACTTCTGCATCATCATATGAAATATTATACTGTGAAGTAACCCCACAATGATATTCATGTTGAGATATCAAAGATCAAGATGAGTTTTGTCAAGTGACATTCAAGGAAAGTGTCCTTATACAGTTATACTCATTCTGCCATCATATGATAAAGCCAGTAGATGGTAGCGAAGGAAAAACCAGATATTCACACGAGCTAATTCACAGTCGCATAGAGTATAAACCAGTGCACATTCTTGAAAATTACCTCCTTGCTAAGTGACCATTTTTTTCGAACCGGGCAGCGGTGACACAGATTCGGTGGTTCCGGTGACAGCCACCAGATTCTCCCTCCGCCATCTGAATCTCACCACTAAAACTCGGTGGTACCCGTGGTATTCTGGCAATCAGGTTGGAGGATGGACCGAGGTATATGATGGGCTAACTTTTGCGACAATAAGAGGAGCTGGGCACGAAGTGCCTCTGTTCCAACCCAAGAGGGCCTTCATTCTTTTCAAATCATTCTTGACAGGAAAAGAACTGCCAAAGTCTTGACACAGTTTGCTGTGGGTTAAAATAAAGGCAAGATAGGGATTTGATTATTTGTTAGCTTTGATGGGAGTTGGTGGAACAATCCAAACAACTTGCTACATACGAAAGAATAATGGGGGAAGGCGCGAGTAAAAGCTAGGGAAGCAGATGATTCGTTTACAATTGTTCTTTTGATTGTATGGATGAAAGTGTCTGAATTTGAAGGAGGAACTCTACCAAAATTCTGGTAACATCGTAAAAGCAGGGGGTGTCAAATATCGATTCAATGCAAGGGGAATGTAATTTCAAGAAATGGTAATTGCGTAGTGTTGTTCTCTGTTCTTTGTTCTTCATGTCCTTCCCTCTCTCGTCAAAATTTAGATCTTGATTAGTTTGATATCCCTGTTGTAGCTTTGATCACTCTCAGCAAGTTTATCATGAAAACTAATAGGAGCATCATTTCTCATTAGAAGTGCTTTGCGAATGTCTAAATGCTGGGATGAGAAAGAAAAGCACAAGAGAGAACTTCTCAACTATTGAGTCACAATGTTACAAAAGCTTTGGCAACATCATAGCACAGACCTAGATCTAAGATGAGCTAAGTACAGGTTATACAAGGAACGTTTGAATGGTGGACGGAATCATGTGAGGCACCGCCAAAATTATATCAACCTAGTGATTAAGATGTATGCAGATGTTTCAGTTAATTTTCCAAGCATGAGATTGATCTATGTATGATAAGTCACGTTCTATATGTCGTGCATCCATAACAGATCTCAATAGAAGCATGTCTAGCTCAGTAGACTAAATAGAGACTCAACTAGAGAAACCCAGCAAGAGAAGTAGACTCATTGCTTCAGTCCGTCACTGAGCTGGTTTGAAAGTTTTTTTTTTTTTTGGTCAGCTGGTTTGAAAGTTAGTACTTACAAACTTTGTCATTCATTTTCTGCCTTATGGTAATTCAAAGCTACCCTTTTACCCAAGTGCAAATATCAACTAAAGTGAAAGGTAGGAAGGATGTAAAAACGAGCTATGCATTTCACTAGGACCGTAGAAGAGGCCGAGTCATCTTCAGACACAGGACCACAAGTGCATTATATAAGAATGAAGAAGAAAGCGCCCAAAAACAAAAGAATTAAGAAGAAGTTCTCTCTCTCTCTCTCTCTCTCTCTCTCTCTCTCTCTCTCTCTCTCTCTCTCTGCCATGAGTGTTTGGCAAACAAAACAATCCAGAACCTGTTATACAAGTGTTCTCTAAGAGAAACCAAAAATTCAAAAATGTTGGCCTTTGGTTTTCAACTGAATGTTTGTTTCCCGGAAATCCCTCCCCAATCTTGTACTTGCCTATTTACCTTCTCCGGGAAAATATTGCAAGTCACATTTCGCAAAATAAATGAGAGTCAAAATGCATCATATAACTTAATAATGTAATTGATTTTGTCTCCCACATCGATAACAAATTTGATTGTTACACAAGACCTAGAGGTGAGACCTAGCCTAACTGTTTCAGGCTTTTTCTCATCCTGTTTCAGGCTTAATTGTCGCGATAATGCTTTATCTAATATGAAATGCATAAAGTATCATATCCTTTTTTCCAAGTAGTCGTCATTACCCTAGTATCCATGTCTTCCTGTTCCACTTTATGTTTTGGTATTTCTCAAGTCATCCACAACTTAGCTAGATTTAAGGGCTGGCTAGTTTTGTGGGACATTCTGCTTTTTCAACCATAAACCTTCATTGAAAAAGCAGAATTAACCATAACCTTCATTCGACCCAAAAAAGAAAAAAGCAAAAGCTTCATTCATGGCCCAACCGTGCAAGACTTTGTATGCGTTGCAGTACAGTGCTTGAAAAGCAACCACATCCACAACCAAAAAATTAGGCTTGTGATTCAGGTAAGGACGAGAATATTGAGGTCAAAACGATTTGCAGATGAAAAGCCGAAAGTTTTGCAGCATCTTTTTTTATCACAGCTCTGCTCACGGTTCATGGTCACATGAGAAAAAATAGAAGAGAGCTAAAAAGAAATTTCTTCTGTCTTTTGGAGCTGGCTTGAACTGTAGCTATGAGTTAGGTGTTCCATGGGGGCTACTGCAAGATTTGGAAGGAAAAGAAAAATCAGAAATGGAAGTTGGAGCATCTTTTAGCCCGAAGAGAAACGTGTCAGGGGCAAAAAGGTGAATTCACATGAAATTGACCTTGCAGGTGGGAGAGTTATAATAATGTGAATGAACAGACAAAAGCAAGCAAGCAAGCATCTTTCTCAATTCCTCTTCCATCTGAATTTTCTTTTCCTCGAGAGAAAATGAAAAAGAAAATCCCCCCACATGAGCAGGACCCCATGAAAGCTCTTAGTCCTAGAAATGAGGTGTAACAACAGCTGCAACAACACATCAGCAGAGAAAACAGGCAACATCCCATTTTTATCTCTCTCCCTGCCTTTTTCTGCCTCTCCTCTCTGTGCCTGTCCCTCTCTGTGAACTCTCTCTCTCTCTCTCTCTGAAAAAAATTAAATGCAAAGTGGCATACACCCAACATGGAAGAAGAAACATAGAAACTCCGCACACCCAACAAAGCTTTCATTTCATCCCCAAACAAAATAGAAAACAGAGAAAGAAGAGTCAACCGCCCAACTTTCCCCAACCCTTCTCTCTTTTCTTCAATGGCCCAGCTCAGCTGGACCAAAACTTATGTAGCTGCAAGGTAAAACAAAAAAGAAAGCAAAGGAAATTTGGGGAGAGAGAGAGAGAGAGAAGCAAAGGAGAAAGAGAAGATAGGTGCCTTCAGATGTCCTCCAACCAAACCACCTCCTCTCCAATAAAAACAATGTTGGGTCACAAATGCCCTTCTGCAACCCCCCAAAAAATCCCATCTTCATCACTACTGTCTCAACCTCAGCTCTCTCTCTCCCTCAAAAGAAATACCCATTTTTATTTTTCCCCCATCTCTTTCTTTTTCCACACAACCGAATTATGTGGGCTTTATTGGGTTTCTTGTCTTGGTCAGAGTTTTCACAGAGAAAACAGGGAAGGCGAGAACCTTCTCATTTTCCCCTTCCCCTCTCTCTCTTTCTTGTTTCTCTCCTTCTTTATTGTTTTGTCCTCCTACCCTCTGTCTCTCTCTCCTTCATTATTTCAATCGCACCCATCTCTCTGGCCTCTCTTTTCAACTTTGTTTGCTACCTTTTGTTGCCTCTGTTCTTGACCTATGATGAAGAAGATGAAAGGGATAGCTGTTATGGAGTCTTCTCCATATGCTGCTGCTCCCGAAGATCCAAGAATCAGGTACAAGCACCAGAGTCTGATGCAGGACTACCAAGATCTGGAAAAGGTAAAACTTTTCCATGTGGGTATTCGTAGAAATTTCACCTTTTGCTTAGTTTATGTAATTTCTGTGTTTGTGTGGCTTGGATCTAGGTTTTTTCATGTTTTCCATTGATGATTGTCCAATTTTCCCTGTTCCGTAGTTGTTTCGTTGCTGATCTTCTGATATGTGCTAGAGATAGTGATTACAAGTTTGGTTAATTGGAATTGATGGTTTTGGATCGGTGTCTGATTTGTGGCTTTTCATGGCTGTGTTTGTTTGCCTTATTTTTAGCTGCAGGATGATTAAAAAATTTCCCTTTTGTGGAGAATAAAAGTACCTTGTGAATTTTCTCTCTGTTGAACTTATTTTGAGTTTTATCAATTGCTTTCTGAGAACATTTTCTGGTTTGCTAGGAGACTACTAGAGAAGAGGGATGGCTTAATGGACTAAGGTGGTTTTAGATTTTTATGGTTGATAGTATTTTTTTTTTTTAATTTTGCCTATGGCCGAGGAATTTTATCCCTTAAAAACTAATTTTTGCGGCATCCTCTTCTATTTCAGTGGTTTAATTCTGGTCTGGCAGTCTGAGAAAAGGAAGAAAAATTATATATCTTGAAGGTTTTCTTCTGCGTATCCAACGAGTAAGATGAAAATCATTCGCTTGATTTGGTTCAATGATGATCCGCGATTTGTAGTGGTTTTAATATATTTTACATCACAAGACGGCCTATTGATTGTAGTTGTTGCCCTGTCTTTTGCTGTAATTTAACTGCTATTTCTGCAAGTTTTTGATTTAGTTGCATATATGGGCTCATGCCAATACTTGTTTTATAGGAAACGAATGCCATGAAAAAGAAGATGGAAATGCTGAAACAGCACAAATTTACACTGTTAGCTGAAGTCCAGTATGGTTTCTTACATCCTTGGCCCTTGGGCGTACGTTAATAGTCATCAAGTGGATTAGAAGCATGAGCTATTTGTGATTTTTATATACAGATTCTTAAGGCAACGATGCAAGTACTTAATGGAGAACCAGCTCTCATCGCCACAACAGCCACCTAGTCGAGCGAGACGTAAAACCATAGAAGTGAAGAGTGATAACCTCACAAAGGCTAGGAAGACAGCGGCAAAGGGGTCTGCTCAAGGCAAATCTGCTTCAGCTCCTGATCTAAATAAAAAGGGGAAAGTCAAGAATGGGAGGAAAGCAGCCTTGCAAAATCCCATGCCGCTTTTAAATGCAAAAGAGGAGAGAACCATTGTTGGGAGGGAAGCTGCGTACCACAACTCTGCACGAAATTTGGACTTGAACGAGAGGGATTTGATTGCTAGTGGGCGGGAAGTTGCCATCCAAACTCCCACCCCGGCTTTTGATATGCATCATAAGGAGAGGCTTCGTGCTGGAAGAGAAGTTACCAAAAGAAACCCCACTCCTGTCTTTGATTTAAACCAGATTTCGGTACTCAATCTTTTACTAGGATGAGTTTTTTTTCCTTTTATATCTCTTTGTCAGCTGTATGTATGATAGTAGATCATTGCTTCCCACCTTGTGTTGCAGACAGAGGAGTTGCAGATCAATGATCAGCAGCCAAGAACTGAAGAAGTAAATAGAAGTTTAGGTACAGGCGAAGGCGAGGAGCTCAATAACGATGTGAAGTTATCAAGTTTTAGGAGTAAGAATACTGCAAATGGGCTTGGCAAGGTAGGGAAGAGGAAGATATCGTGGCAAGATCAGGTGGCTTTAAGAGTTTGAGGTTACATTTGCATATTCCCCGAGCTGGGATTGTTGCTTGCTGGGGCTTGAAAATGACCCCATACGTGCCTTGATGTTCACTTTTGCCTGTTTTTTTGTCAACAACAATCAGGTTATGCAGTCACATAGTTGCATGATACATGTCTAGGGATAGAATCAAGTAGCAAGGTAAACGAAATATCTATACTAAACCTATATCAGCTTTCATCAGGACAGTGCAAAGTCACTGTGCACGATCTTCTACTCCTTGAATTGCTGCATGTGGTGAGGTATATAACCCTGCAATCTTGCATTAACGACTTTAGGAGCATAATATAAGAATCATCTTTACTGGACTATAACTAAACTTTCGGTACTTGTGGGAATCAGTATACTATAACTCATGGGAAGGAGATAAATCATGTCATGTATCTATTTTCAGGAATACTACTTTTGCATAATGTTCATATCTGTGGATATTTGTTTCCAGTTGATTGTATTAACTTTCCGGTTCAGTATGATTTGATTAGCATTAAGTCATTGTAGTTGGAAATCACGAGTTAAATCGGAGAATCGTTCATGCAAGTTGTACCAGCGACTTTGTCCCGCCATGGTATTATTTCGTTATCAAGTACGGTAGAAATTGAACAAAATAGCATTTCCCGAGTCTTCACTAAATTTGCCGATGCATCGCCATAATCGCCGTGTCTCCTCTTCAAGCGGCATGGATTAACAGTTCCTCCTGTCAAACTTGGGCTTTGTATCAAAGAGAGAAAATTCATCATGGGACAAAAGTTGAATGATTTTAAGTAATGTGTAAATGTGATGCGCTAAGTTTAATTGGGGATCTCCCTGTCGGTATTCTCCGGCAGCTTCTGTTTATGGTTTTTGAAGATCTTGTTGAAATCCTATGTTGGTATGTCATTTTCAGTCCTTTCTTTTTTTTTCATTTGTCCTAATATTAATTCGGAGTGGGTTTGAATTTGTAATGCGACTGCTCAATCAAATGTCCGATGCTTCGAATCATGGCACAGAAGATAGACACAGAGGACAGTGCGACGTGCATGGCTTTGCACTAGGATGCCGAGGAGTGCTCTTAGCTTATGCTTATTGAGAAGAAGCAGAGGAAAGTGCGCCGGTTCTATAGCCTCTGAGACGACAGAATCCACACGAGATCAAATTAACCAGAGCGAAGGACGAGGATGTTTGTCGTCGAGGGGAGAAATAATGGCCATCGTAAAGTACGGGCTGATGAGAGTGCTCCAGCTCACCGGCTTGTGTTCTTTGCTAAATTGGAAGAAAGTTTCGAGGATGGGCATCTATATCGTAGTCGCAGAGTTCAGGATTTGTTACATTGGGCTTGAATTGGGTTGGGAACATCATACAAACACTTCAATATGAGGCTATGAGCAGATTTCCTTGCGCATATACAGATTAATAGTTCTTGATTCTCATCTTTTCTCTTGCTCTTTTCTTCAGGGATCGTGCCATAGTAAAGGAAGCTGCAAGCTTCTGTAGACTAAGCAGCTTTACTAGCATAGATAACCATAAAATACTAAGATATCTGTTTCATATTTGTTCCATTTTCACATGATATAAGCAGACCAAAAAGAAAACTATCAAAAGTGCTTTCACCTTCAATCTGTCTTTAATCAAAGTATAATATATCCAACAGCTAAGGATCAATAATTTCAACATGAAAATGAGCTTTATAAGCTTATTATTTCGACCAGAGGGATATCCTGTAAAACAGTCAAGTGATTGTTATTCACTTGTTCTTCAGTAAAAGAGTTAGGCACGGGGTGGGCAGCGCCTGGGACTGCAACCCAGGTTACCTGCCTGTGAAGAAAATTCACTGCCCATAACCGGCCATCCCCATTGCCCACCACAGACGAGAAGGAACTCAAATGTCCGGAGAAATAACAAATAAGTCTCTAAATGTTAATCAGCTTCCAATCAATACACCAAATTAGAGCAAATTGTCAAGGTAATAACTCTGCTCATTTTTATTCACAAGATCATTAAATAGAATGAACTTTACAGAATTTGAACCGGGCGAGATGCAAGTCATCGATGGCGAGATTTCCCAGTAATCACTCACACGGACTGTCTCTGATTTCTCATGTCTCAGTTGCCTCTTTTGGCTGCTGTGTGTCCTTTTCAGGATCTTCCACGGCAGCATAGCCAGCTTCTTCTGCTTGACCCAGTTCTCGTAGATGAGCAATGTGCTTTTTCCCCTTTTCATGACTCTCCATGACTGTCTTGGAGAAAGCACCAATTTGGCACATCTCACACCAAAACTGGAAATTCTTGTTCTTTCTCGAACCTTCAGTGTTCTCCAATTTCTGTGCCATTTTCAGCCCGCTAAGCTTCTTCGAATCCTTAAGCTCTTGATGTACTTTCGATTCAGTGTTTCCTTCCTTGCCAATCTTCTGAGCTAAAGAAGCTTCTTTGATCTTGTGCTTCTTCCCTTCGAGATGTTCTTTCAAACCTTTCTCACTCGTGGCACTGACCTGGCAAAGTGCACATGTCCACTCCTCCTTGGTCTTCTTCTTTCGACTAAATGTGGACAATTCACCTGCATCAGCTGGAGATGTTGAAGCTTTTCTTTTGGCTCCGGGGAGATTTGGATCCGGTCTAGGCTGCAAGAAAGCACTCAGAAATGACATCATTAAAGCTCTCATCCATTTAAAAAAAAATAAAGTCGGTGAGCTTGAGAGCCCGAGAAACATATTGACTAATCTAACTTTGTCTCGGAGAATTGACCCTTTGTAGGCATTGAGAAGATTCTGCTTTCATCGCCGTAACATGATTTAACAACAAACATATTGGCATCAAACGTAGTAAAAAACGATTGATAACTGACTTGCTATGCTACAGTGAGGAAAAGCCAGAAAATTTCACTTAGAACTTGCTTCTATCCATGCTTGCAAATTTCCCTGAGTGCACCTTGTCTGCAGACTCCAGTTCGATGCAATTTAATTACATCTACACCTAAACCCAACTAAGTTACAGAATTGCATGTTCTCAATCCATTTACAGAGATTTCAGAAATTCTATAATAACCTACAGAAATGACAAACTGTTCTAGATATAGTTTTGATGTCACCTAAAAACAAATGAATGGAAAAAGCTGAAACTCAAAAGTCAATTCAAAACTAAGACAACCAGTGTCTACCTTAATGTTTTCAGTTCTTGATCAAACAACTGACCAAAATTCTTGGTACAGTTAATGTCTACTGTGCGAGCTATTTTCTTGAACAACCTTAGGTGCCATTGAGACTAAAGCAACCACAAGTCTTATCAAATCTAATTTCTTAGCCATGAACTTCTAATTGAATATTGACTGACTTCATTTTTCAAACAATTTTTTTACAGGCCCTCAGTTGCCATCTTGCCGCTGAGACTAAATTAACATCAGTTTTACCAATCAAATTCTCTATCCATGAAATTCTACCTCAAACTTTATTAATTTTTCTAACTGTACCTCTTGACTTGAATCAAAGGGAGAGTAAAAGAATAAAACCCATGTCATAGGAGCAATTTCAAAATCAAGAAGTCCTCAGCACACCTAGACTTCCAGCATGAAGAAGAATATTCTAGAGATAAAGATCAGAGGGAGAAGAAGTACGTAGTTAACCTAAGTAGCATTTGAATCTTTGGGTCTTCAAGTGGTGAGGACCAAAAAAGGGTAACCCCTACCAAAGAAATTCCAGAGAGTGAAGAAGGGAACTTGGGAAGAATGGAACGCAGATTTCCATTTCTTTTCTCGTCCCCCTTAAACACAAGGACATTGACTTGTGCCTAAGAAGACACAGTGAGGTGAAGCCTATAAGTACAAGTGAGAACTTGGTTTCCATCCATGCTTGAATATTCCTATGTATAACTTTAAACCATAGAGATAAACTCAAGCATATTTCAACATAATTATGCAGTTAGACAGGTCTCTGGTGTTGCCCAGAGATGTGTAGTAATTACCAGAAATCTGAATGAATACCTAAACAAAACATGCTTGCACTAACCACCAAAATTATCATACAAGCTTGTCTGCACAAAACAATTTAATGGACAGAAAAAAATAATTCAAGGCCTAGACAAACATGTGCTAGCTAATCTTCAAAGAAAACCAGACATCAAAATCACTACCTTATAATCGACAAAGCTATTATCCATGATAATTCACAAGTTCAAAAAAGGACATGAATTCTCCAGCAGTGTACTAGCATATAACTAGTCATGATACCGACAGAAGGTCTGCAATTGACAGAATGTCTGTAATTTCCAGTTCAGACCATTCGTGCTTTCTATGTAGAAATGCATCATATGTCATTCCTATGTACTTTCCCACCCATTTGAAAGATTCGGAGAAGATAGATTTTCCCCAAAAACTTCTCTACTCAATCAGGCTTTTAGATTATAATTCTTTTCAGTTGATAGGCTAAGCATACTTTAAGAAGGCAACATTATGCATATACAGTCTCAATAAAGTCAGAGAGATAATGGAAATGATTACATAAGATGCGAACAGTTCTGTAAAGGATACCATGATATTAGTTATCTATTTACACTCACAAGTGTATGGTCAAGAAAAATTTTACAGAGATAAAAGGCCGGAGCTACGCTAACTTTATGCAGCAGTAATAATATTTTACGTCTCATCGATGGAGCTAATTGAGTCGGACATATCAATTGAAAGCAGAACCAAACAGTCATCGATGACGAAAATTGATGTTTAGCACACCGTCAAAAGCATATTGATGATTGGTACGAGACACTTTATGCAAGAAAATGCTAAGATTGGAAAAATGTTGAATTTCTTTTCGAATATTCAAATGGGTGTAGTAGGTCTCATTCTATTCATCTAGAACTAATTAGATTGTTGATAAAACTAGATTTAGAACTCCCATTTGAAATGATCCACCTAAAAAATAGGTGGATCTTAATCAGCCATAATCATATCAAATCGCAATGTGTCTCGTAACAAACAGAAATATGATTTCAAAGGCATGCTCAACATCAATTGGCGTTGCCTCGTTAGTAATGAAATGCTGGCATACAACTTTCAGCAGATAAATATGACTCAAGCTACTCCATCGAAGAAAGTTCAGAGATGGCACTTGTGTAAAGCAATTTTCTTATATTCTACTCTGCGCATACAATAATTTTTATCGACCTAGCACTATGAAGTGTATGATGGACAGATTAACATAATGGGATGGCCAATAGAGTTATTCAAATAGCTATCCAGTGATTTCCCTTAGTTTGGAAGAAGACTCTCCAAAGTACATATATTGCTCTCTTTACCATGTTTTGCATCAACATAGTCTAATTATATAGATAAAAATAACACAACATATCTCCTTTTCTCTTTTGAGAGTTGAAGACCACTATCACCTATCCAGTTTAAGGTGTCACAGAATACTGAAAGATGCTGGAGAATGTCATGCCAGGAATTCATAAAGTAGCTAAGAAAATCTTGTACGAAGTTCTCTTTCCTCTTTTTCTCCCCATTTTTATCGGAGAAAGGAAATCAATTCTTACAAGTATCCCCATAAATAGTTTATTATGCAATCGGCACAAAGGACTTTCATGAAACAACTATTGTAATGTCAATATCAAGAATATGCATAGCAGTCTCACTGATCCAGCAGTAGCAATGTCTGATGTTCTCATATTCTCACACTACAGATAATTTCACAAGCTTCCTCTACATCTAATTTAAGATAAGAATGGCATAAAGTACTCTCAAAATCACCTGTACCCGGAAAGGCTCACCTAAGCAAGATTATATGAAAAGGCAAAGACATATAAAGTCCCTCAAGTTGAGAACTTACCAGCATAATCAGTCTATCCTTATTAAGTTCAGGCTTGATCTCAGTTGGTATAGCTTCCGGAGAACGAATCAATGGCAATGGTGACACATCAGCTGCATTACGACCAACAAATGCCAGGTGACCCTCCGTGGCGCGGTTTTCAAGCCGGTGCAAAGCAGGATGCCCTCGGTTAAAGCCAAACCACATTGCCGATTTCCCGTCAAAAGGCAATCCATCGCCGGCACACCGAAGCACCATTTGTCGCTCCAACATCAACTCCCTCCTCACCTCATCTTCGAGCATCTGCCGCCGAGCAACCTCCGAGGCAATAATCTCCTCCCGTATTTTCTGCTTCTCCATCTCCCTCTGGATACTTTCCCGGACTAGATAAGGGTCCCGCATTGCATCGAATTCGCTGTTCAAGTAGGGTCTCGTATTGCGAGTCCCCGGAAAATCAACTGGGGTCACACGATCAGAGCAAAAACTTCAGCGACTGAATTAAAGATCAGAACTTTCTTGTCTATTCCAGTCATAATAAAGCACGTGCATGCACAACGCTCCCCGAAAGCCGAAAGCAAAGAAATTCGACCCAAAAAAAAAAAACGATCTTTACGAGCAATCCGCCTTTGCACCAAACAGGGTTCAATAGTTCACTCCAGCACAAGAGAATCAGCGGAACAGAAACCAAACAAAGCAACCCCACACAAGAAAACCGGAAACCCAGTAAGAAAAAGCCAACAAGAAACCGAAAAAAGGCACGCACACACACAAAGAAAACCAACTTACCTCGCCATGCCTGGTCGGGGAAGAAACCGACGCCGGACGAATGAGGGACGACGGGCTGAGGCCTGGAAGTGGACGCGCCGGCTCGGTACTTGAACTCCATGGAAAGATTGATTTCAAGAATTCCAAGATTTCAAAAACTCTGGGGAGATTGTGTGTAATGGCAGGAGAGAAGAGAAGACAAGAGAAGAGAGAATCAACGAGATAAATGGTGGGGGTGATGCGCTTTTCGCATCTCATTAATACCTGTGGATTTCTTGCTTGTTTAGCTACGTAGCTTAGCTTTGGCAGCTCACGCTGCGTTGATTGACATGACAACATTGGCGAAGCCGAAACATCGTGCGTTCTGTTCTCTTTCTTTTCCTCTTATGTTGTTTTTTTTTCCCCTTTTTTCTCGTCCGAGCTCGTTTTGAATTTGGTCGGCGGCCCAAAAGGGGAGAGAGGACGAAAGCCTGAGAGAATTGGATGAGCGGTAAAGATGAACCAAAGACATTAAAAATGTGATTTTTTTTTTGGATTAGAAGGAAAAGAAGGAATTTTTAAATTTATTCAATGCGGTTCATAAATTTTAATCCAATATACAATGTCGTCTTTAAATTTATAATTTGCTCAATGTGATCTCTGAATTTTTGTACATGCTTAGTTTAGTCTCTAGACTAGAAGTGATCGATTCATAGTTTAATTCCAATCGATGACTATAGCATTTTCCTTCCAAACAAAAGGATATTACAAAGCAGAAGAAATCCAGATTGGAGAAACTATGATATGCAAAAATCAAACACCAACAATTGCAAAGCTTAACACTGTGGCGATCCATGACAAAACAGGAAATCAATCAAGAAAGGTTTCAGCGGTGCAAACAGCACAATAAAATCTACAAAACAAGAAATCGATAGATTACCTTGAGAAATTATCCAAGGTGCGGGGTCAAGGGGAGAGTGGATGAATAACACGCATGGGAGCTGGAAGCTCTGGAATCGCACTGAAGTTGGATGAAATTCGAGGTGACGATGACGATGACGATAGATGATAGCTAAGGATCACACTCATAAAGGCTTGATCGGACCGTCCGTTTATGAGAGGCGAGATGTGGGAGGGACCAGGGTTGAGCATGAGCCCCATAAGAGGTGCCGAAACTGAAGATGCATGAGAATTGGGTTGAGCGTGAGCCGCGTCAAATGAGAGAGAGGAGTTTGAAAAATATAGATTACGGTTTACTTTAGAGATCGAGAAGATGGAACAAAGGAACAACAAAAACTACAATTGCAACGGAATCACGGATAGCAAAATGGAGGAGAAGAACAAGATGATTTACGACGTGGGCTTCCCAATTCACAGCTAGGTGAGGAAGATCAAGCAAGAATCGAAGGCGACGGCCATGGATTGGTCGACGGACCAGCCGGAGATGAGGCTTATTCTCAGAGCCAGGAAGATTATCAAGCGGCAGAGCTCGCGGTTGCTGCTGGGTCTGGCGGCAGGACGACATGGTGAGATGAGAGAGAGGAGTCTGCAAAATGGAGATTAGTCATATTAGGGTTTACTTTAGGCTATTCTTAAAGAAATTAAAAGAAAATGTAACCGGTTCGATCCGATTCCTATCTTGGAATCGGGAACCGGACCAGTGGCCTTTGAAATTGTCCAGAACCAATCGGTTTGATTCAATCCGGGCGATTCCCGTTGCATACCCCTAATCTAGACTGTATGAAAATGTTGAATATTACCATTTAATTAATTCAAATTCATGGATAACATTAAATATTTTCTTACGGTCCATGGACCAAATCAAACATGTATTTAAAGCTAATGGGTTGCATTATATATTAGGCTAAAGTTCAAACTACAATACATTGGGCCAATATTTAAGAACTATTTGTGTCATTTACCCATAGTTGTAAAATAAAATATGTAAACATATTTATGAAATTGCCTTTTATTGGTTAACCATTCCGTGATCGTACGATATAAGCATGAAAAATTTCTTTATAGTAATTATCAATTTATATGAGCTAAGTAGGGCGATTGAGAAAGAAATCATTTTTTTTCTCTCACACAATATATTGAATTAGATCCGACATGTTATTTGGAAAAAAGGATAAATCAATCAAGAACTACCAAACAAGATAAATGTGGCGAATCCAACGTGCAATTATCACTCCTCAATGAAGTGATCGGGCGTGTGACGAAAGAATTTTGCCAGGACACTCGGGGTGCGTATGAATACCATTACGTCACTTAGGGAACTATTTACGAATAGAAATGATTTTTTTTTATCGTGCTAGGAAACAATTTCGAGTATTTGAAGGCGTTTGATAAAGTGTCCAAAATTTCTATTCCTAGAGTAGAAAAGAACGAAAATGCGTTTGGTAACTACACAAAATTTCTGTTCCCAAATAATATTTTAATAATATTTTGAATTATTTAATTTTTTTCTTTCTATCATTTTCTTCTTTGGCCATGACCGGTCGCCGCGGCCGGCGGTCAGCGGCCGACCACGGCCCGGGCGGCGAGGCGTCACGGCCCTCGCCGGCCGCCGCGCGGAGGCGAGGGTCGCCCTCGCCGGCAAGGGCGAGCGGACCCTCGCCTCTGGCGAGGCCGCCTCGCCCTCGCCGGCGAGGGTGACCCTCGCCTCCGCTACGGCGGGCGGGACCATGACGCCCTCGCCAGGCCCGGGGCGTGGCCGTCGCCGTGCGGCCAGGCCCAGCCCGGGAAGAACAACAAAAAAAAAGAAAAAAAAAAGAAGAAAAAAAGCTGATTCTCAAAATTGTCTTGCAGAAACAAGAGAACTTTTTTTTTATTTCTTGTTTCTCTTCCAAAATTTCTCGGCACAAATTTTTGCAAAATGTGCGGGAGCAAAAAGTTTACAAACGTTTACGTTCACAAACCATTTCGAGAATAAAAGAACAGAAATTTTATTTATTTGGCACGTTGTCAAACGGACCCTCATCGAACTACATCGAATTAGTATTGCCGGAACACTCATCGAACTGCATCGAATTAGTATTGTGAAGACAAATTTTACTATATGGGAATTGGCACTAATACTGCACTCGAAGAAATCATTACCGATTTCTATGAATTTATACTCCAGTAGATCTCAAAGATTTTCTGGGGATGTTTCAAAAAATGATTAATGCTTTTGGTATTTTTTTCCTCAGAAGTAAATTAACTTGGGGGCAAATACAATCGAGTATTAATTTAGGATTTTGGATTGATTGAAGTGAACGAAAATTACGGGTTTTTGACGTCATATTAACGTCAGATTTAGCTGGAAAATAAAAAAAGAAAATGCACTCATTGGCCCGTGAAATGTAGACCAGATGAAGCACGTCGCGTTGACAGTGGATTGAATGCCGTCCACTCTCTCTCTCTCTCTCTCTCCCTCCTTTGTTTCCTTCTTCATTAAGATCGGAAGTTGCCGCGTTTCCACAAAGCCACACGCGATCAAATTCCATCGCTCTGTGTCTGTCCCCCCCAAGGGCGGTGAAGTGAGTCGCAATGCCGAGCCGATGCGAGATCTTCTGCGAGGTCCTCATCGCTATCTTGCTTCCCCCTCTGGGCGTCTGCTTCAGGCATGGTTGCTGCAGCGTATGATGCACCTTCCCTGTCTCTCTTTCGCTCTCTTTCGTTGAATTTTGGAGAATTTGAGATGCCCTTTTTCTTGTTTCGTTTGTATTGGCTCTGTGATGCGGAAAAGATCGATTTTTGAAAAGTAAACTTGTTATTTTTAGCTGGCTTTTGCAAAGGTGTCTTTTGGCTTGATCTCTCGATGAGAATTCATAGAGTATTTGAGATGCCCTTTTTCTTGTTTCGTTTATATTTGCTCTCTGATGCGAAAAGATTGCTTTTTGAAAAGTAAATTTGTTATCTTTAGCTGGTTTTTGCAAGGCGTCTTTTGGCTTGATCTCTCGATAAGAATTCACAGGGTGTTTGAGATACCCTTTTTCTTGTTTCGTTTTTATTTGCTCTCTGATACGAAAAGATCGCTTTTTGAAAAGTAAATTTGTTATCTTTATTTGGTTTTTGGAGGGTGTCTTTTGGCTTGATCTCTCGATAAGAATTCACTGAGCATTCCTCATAAAAAAAATTTAATCTGCCAACTCATGTGGGTCTGCATCGTCTGTTGTTTATCTGGATAATCTCATGATTGAATCTGTCACCCGATTACGCCTTCGGCATTTGTTCAGCGATCTAAGATCCTGTTGCATCCTTTGCTGTCTGGGGCTTAATTTGTTCTGTCTTTGTTCATTTTGCAGGTTGAGTTCTGGATCTGCCTGTTGCTGACGATACTGGGTTACGTCCCAGGAATCATATACGCTCTCTATGCGATTGTATTTGTCAACCGCGAGGAGTTCTTCGATGAGTACCGGCGTCCACTTTATGCCGCCTAGCATTTCTTGATTTTCACCATCTTTGGCCTTTGTATGCTGTAATTTGACGGTTTAGTACTGTGCCCATTTCACTGTATACTTGGCCAAGAATAACGTTGTGTTGAATTGATGTGACTATTAATGTGATATTTCTTGTTCCATATCGGATATACTGGGATTGCTTTAGCTTGAACTAATGTAGATCGGTCAGATTGTCCACTTCAAAATGACAGGGAAAATGCGAAAGCTAAAGGCGAAGAGGCAAAACGAAGGAAAAAAATGTGGCAGACGTAGCCTAAGTCTCCCCATGTAGGCTCTTAATCTCTGCTGACCTCACGCACTCTTGTGATGAATTAATTGGCAACCAGATTAGATTAAGTTGTCATGCAATTGATCAAGATGTGTCGATAGCAGATGTAGATGTTGGTGATTGGTGACTTGGCGGTAAAGTACAAATTGACATTAGATCATTGATAGTGACTCTCTTGAGCTCATTATTGTTAATAACTTCAGTCTACTGTGGAGATCATGGCAAACAAGCCAAATCAGAGCGAGAGCTATTTATCATGGTTTGCTTCGGGGATTATATGAGAAGCTTGTGCATCTCTACAGCGACTGTAGTCAAGAGAAAACTGTGCCAATTGGCTTGAAAGTGCTCATGTGATGAGCAAGAAAAAGCAGTTATTGCCTGTATTCGAACTTCAAATGAAAAGAAATAACTGCTTTTACAAGAGAAGAGGAACCCAAATTTTAACCTGCTTTTACGGGAGTGGTAGTGCTTCTTGCCAGCGTCTCCATCCCAAGTAGAACTGCACACGCTTAAACTTGGAAGAGCAGAGTGACAGCGACGAGTCCAACTACTACTGGCCCCACTGCTGCAGACAGGAAAGAAGCATGAAGCACATTGGCGGGTGCACCACTGTGAGTCTTTTTACGTGGCTTAATGAGATCCCCGCCACCATAAACGCCCTTTCCTTTGTTGACACTGTTCAGATTATGAACTTTCTGAACTTCCCCCTGATTGTTTTGATAGTCTCTCTCTTTGGCTTTCCTTTCATGGTATTTCTCTTCTATTTTGCTGATCAAGTCAAGGGCAGCTGCATAGAGACAGCAAGGACTGACTGTAACTCAGCATGCAAAATTTGGATTTGAAAGTTTCATCTTGTGGAGAACACTTCATAAGGAGTTCTAAGAGCTTACGTTACCTGAACTTTCCTCCTCTCTCGGCTTGTAATGATTATGGGCTGGTCTGAGAGTGCCTTCAGATTCGGAGGAGAGAACCTTGCTGCAGTTGACGAAGAAGAGGCATGCGAGTAATAGTCTCCTCATATCAGAGCTTGGTTAAACCCGAAATTCTGAGGGATAAAGAGTTGGGTCAATAAGTATGCTGGTGCTAATCAAGTCCTGCTGTGCTTTGAACTTAATCAAATCCTTCGCTCTATATATATACGCAGTCTTGTTGAAATGATGCTTTGTTGCTAGAAGAGGGTTTATTTCACCGAAACGCCATATTCTCAAGTATGCGTATAGCGTTCCTTTCTCATTGAGACGGGATAGTAGGATGCTTAAGTTCCATCTGGCGGCTGATCTCTTATCAATACAGGAAATGGAATTGAAACACAAAGAATCTGCTTTTTGTTGTGGGGCTCCGGCTGTGATAAATGTTTTCATGGTAGATGCTTGCAACCAAGAGAAGAATAAAGGGTTGCTCCTATGACAGATCATAAACTTTTTCGCTACTTGCTTTTTTTCTTCTTGGAGAATGGTCAAGAGCACATTGGCTACCAGATTTAGATGCTTTCTCCCAAAAAATCGGATCAGTATTCCATTTTCACATGGTTTGCCAATGGAGTTCCGGAAAGGTTTGCAGAAATGGTTAACATCGTGGAAATCCTACGAAGGCGAATCTTACTTTGCTCGACTTTTTAATGGGGTCCGTTCGAATTTGCTCCTGTGGATGTAGGATTGGACAACTCTAGCCTATGGTTGAGTTAAAATCTATTCTAAGTAAAAAAAAAAAAAAAAGTTCAAATTTCTTAGAAATCGCAGGAAGCCAAATCTGTTACATGTGGTTTGCGTATTATATCTGCTTAAGCAAGCTTACTTCTCCGAAAAGACATCTCATGTCTAATTTGCGCTCTCTCTCTCGAGCAAGTATTATTTGTGTGATGATGGGTTGAAAGCAGAACTTGATTTAACATTAGATATCATATTGCAGAACCTATTTTCCTCTACGTGCCGGAAATCTTTCAGACGCCTCGAGTGTTATACCCCTAAGGCCATAAAACCATCATTTTGCATCCGACGGACATCGGCGCATTCATCTCTCCAATAAGGACAAGCCTTGACTCAGACTTACTGCAATGAAGGGATGAAGCACGACAGAAGTTTCAAGTCATTCACCCTTCTAAAGTACCGAAGCACTTTTCGTAGTCTTAGGAAGCGTTTGGTTCAGCTTTCTCAAAAGCTCATCAGGAAAATTTTGAGTGTTTGACAAACTTTTTTGGGACCTCGCCAAGGCCAGCATTTGGCCAAAGGCTTTTCTCACGTACCGAATCAAATGCACCATAAATCTTCAATTCTCTGCACATTATTTAGAAACCGAAGGTGCGCAATGAGCTCGAACTGTTGAATTAATGTCTCGAGTTTAAGCTGTTTACGGAATCCGATCCAATTGGATAAGTCTTCCGGTTTGAACGTGGAGTGAATTTAAATTAGAAAACTTGTTGCTCACTCGTCTTGGATACAAGGGTTTTAAGAAGGGCCCACTATCCTACAACATATATGTTTTAAGTGGGTTCTGTCTTCGAAAGTTGTAGCCGCACAAAAGAGGGAGTTTTTGACAGCCACCCAGTGACTTCTTGTGAGCTGCTGCAGGAAGAACGAAAAGAAAAATCGTGGTGTGCGGACCTCTTTGCACGATCGTGGGCAGGAGCTGCAACACAAGTGGATTTGTGTTATAAGTTTTATATCCAAACTGATTTGTTTGTTTATTTGTAAATATTTTGGTTTAGACTTAATTTAGATGTGAAAAATACTTTAGCGTGTGAGCATTTGTAACTATGATTTTTCAATAATAGTGGATTATTTGCTGCTCGTTATCCACGGCTCTCCTCGTGAATGTAGGAATCGACACTCGGATGAAAACATGTAAATTTTTTGGGGCTAATTTACAAAAAAAAAAATACCAACTTTACTTCAAGTGATAATTTTGGCCCGAACTTTTTTTTATCTTAATAAAAATCAAATCTAGCCCTCGTTAACCAAAGCTTGAAATCTTGTAGATTGTTACAAGTACTTGATGGGGCACAGCTTTAGAATCTCCTTCACTTTTTTTCCCAACAAAATCCATTTATTAATGTTCATCACTAAACGAGATCAATTGATTAATGTCCATTCAACGTAGACTTTGAAAATTCAGGACGAGGGCTTGGGCTCGTTTCGGCAAAAAAGGTTCAGGTTGTGAGCTTGGCGGATCTTGTACATGGGTCTCTCGACGGGTGGTGATCCACAGCTTCAGATTATGACGAAACAGTGGAGGCTGACCGGAGAGATTCAATATGGAGATCTTTTTGACTTGCTGGTAAATTGAAAGAGATCATGAACAACTTCATTGTTATTCTTCAAGCTGTGGCTCAGAAAAAAAGACAATAAATAGTTCTCCAAATCAAGTTAGGAAGCGACGTGGATTTATTGCTAACGTGGAATAGTCACATTGGACAATTAACAATTCTAAGTCAATGGGGCCAGATTTGGAATTTAAGTGAAAGTTGGTGATTTTTAACGAGATAAAAAAGAGTTCGGACCGAAAATATCACTCAAGATAAAGTTGGTGTTTCTTTTTGGAATTAGGCCAAATCTTTTGTGCCTTTTATTGTTCTTCATTATTTCGCATTGCCTTAAATTGTAAGATCCAGTCAGTTTCCGCGTTACTTGTACCATACAAACAGCGGAAGACCTTTTCGCATGACGCCTTCATTTTCATTGGTTCCCTCCTGGTGTCCATGTTAGTCCGGATCTTATCCTTCCTGGACGCCATGTGAGCTTCGTGAGCAAAACTTGAAACTACAGAAGATGGAAACAGTAAGAGAGACGACAAAGAAAGTGAGTATGCACGCCCTTCTCATCTCAGCCGATGAGTGGAAGAAGACACCGTTGGCCCTCAAGATGGTGCGCAAAAAGCTTTTTGGTTGAGCAATGATAATCAACTCCATAATGTTTGGTGGACCATTAAGCTAAATGAATAAGTAGATGAAAGTTGAAGTCTCGACGGCTCATCATTTGTCATATTGAATAAGAGCTATACAATAAACTAATTTGGTGAGCTGAAAAATTCAACGAGAGTTTCTTGGACGTTGGATAGTGTTGAATATGTCTCGAGTTTGAACCAGTGAACGAAATCTGACCCCAAATGAATTGCGAGAAAGCCGAGTCGATTAGAGGAAAGTCGGAAATTTGGATTTCTTGGGGTCGTCCAAAATCGTGTAAAAAGATACAGAAACTTTCTTTCACGAGTTGGAGTAGGTTTCTCACTTCCACTTTGGAGTCCAAAGGGATGTTGGACTTTGACCGTGAAAGAAAGGAAAGTGTGGCCAATTGGGTCAGAGAAAGAAAAAAGGAATTACAATCCTAATTGAAGTCGGCATAGAGAGGTAGGACTCCACGTCTAGGTTTGTTGAAGAGTTGTTTCACGTGCTTGGTTGCGGGTTTTTTCGGTGGGTTCTGTTAGTAGAATTACACCAAGAGTTCAAGAGTGAAAGACAATTAATCTTGTGTTAGAATTCGTTAACTTTTTTATGATATCGAAAGATTACTTCGTGATGAATTATGGAACTAAACATCGTGTGAGTTATTGAGTGTAATTGGGGGCTGAAAAACATTGAGAGTGTTTGAATGACTCGAGTTTGGTTATAATCTCCGTTGTATTGCTTGATCTATATTGAAAAGATTACGCTGACCGAACCGTGTAAATCTGGTGTTTGATTTACTTTTCTTATTCTGTTTATTTTATTATTCGATTGCTTATTTCCACAACAAATAGTGAGTGATCAAGGTCGAATCGTAAATGTTTCACCAAAAATGGGTGATTCATCCGGATAGTGAAAAATCTTTCATTAAAAGTAGATATTTGGTGGGTTCTACGGTGATTTTGGATAGGAATTCACTCGATTTATTTAGCGAAGATGAACAGTAAATTTAAAAGAAAAGTACCGGAAAATGATGAACGATAATGGAAAATGAGAAGACAATAACATTGATAAACTGATAAAAATAAATTGGGAACGCGAGTTTGTACTTTTTCTCCCTAATCACACACCACCACTTGTATAGCCCACTAATTACAATCAAGCGCTAGCAGTTATTACTTTAAGTGCGCTTACAACTGCACTTCAGGCCTTCTATTCGCACACCGACTTTATCCACAAGTGGTTACAACTTCTAAAGCCATGCTTCTCCATTTGCTCCGTATCCGTGCCTTCAACCGACATCCTGATCCTTGTGTTCTCCTCTTGTTTCCAACACCAAGCCAAATTTCAAGGTGGCTAACCCCTTTGCTTGCTCCATTTCTGAACACCTCTCGATTACTTGTCGATGCCAATTCCACGCAGCTATCGATGATTGTACTTCATAGATGTCGATATCGTGGCCATACAACTGTCGATTGTTCAATGGCTCGAATCACTTTCATCCACCAGTCTCACTGGATCGACTAACCTCGCTCGCACGTCGACTACACTTATTTTTTGGGGTAAACAGTAAGCCGAAAGAACCAAACCCTTTCGCAATGTAGATTTATCACGAGGCAGTTGAGGGTTAACAACCCATTAAACATAATTGCGACCGTTGTCGAGAGCAAGTGCAAGATGGTTCCGTAAGCGGAGTCGTATCGACTTCCTACAAACACATGGGTCTTCAAGTTCATTCAACAAGCATGACAGCAACACGGTGTCGCAAGAATCGTAAGAGAAATCGACATGTATGCTTATAGACTCGAGCATCCATATAGCGCCATTACTGGTGAGAAGGAAGATAATTGGTGTTACAATATCAACTTCAACTAGGTGACTACAGGAATGAGCAGATCAAAATCATACTTTTCAAGGGAAATTATCTCTCAAGCCCGTACTAGTTATTACAAGGAAAAGACTTCTGGTCCTGACACCCCTCATATGAAGATGGCATCCGATGAGCTTGAACAGCGGCTGATGTTTTGATGCTGCCTGTCGGTCGAACACCTCTAACCTTCTTCACTTGGACGCCGATTACCTTTCTGTTGCGAAACTATCTGAGGATGTCCTTGTTCATCAGCGTGCTCTCTCCGCGCTCATGATGCTGTCCGAGTGAGTTTTCCAGATGACCTTCTTGAACTTCATGAGCAGAACCTGCGGGACGTTGAAGTAGCAAAGCAAGCGTGATCAGTGAGAGCATGAGTTGCGGTCTCTTAACAGCCATAGTTGATGAAGAGGAGATATCTTCTGGTCCCCATACCCAGAAGATAACTGTCTTTTATAGAGCTCTGATAATTGCAGAGGAAAGAAAATATCTCTGTTTCTTTTTTTTTTTTGGTCGGCTGAAAATTGTTGAGGTCGATGTCTTGTATTCTGTTATCCAAGAGATTATGAGGCGGTTCCGAAAGGCCCCCTGACGACTGGACAGCGCGGAGGCAACGCCCCCGGCCGCCAGAGGCGTTTTATGTTCAGTCATAGAATGATTTATATGGGAAAGTTAAATATTTTAGGTTATGTGGGCAACTTTGTAATTTGTGCTATGTAGGGTTTCGCTATATATATTTAGGGCAAAACAGGTCTCTAAATATAGAGAGCAGGATGTGAGAAAGAGTGGCTGTACACTTTTCTACGTTATTAGTGAAACGGATCTCATCTCCCCGTGGACGTAGGCAGGCGGAACATCTACCCTGCTGAACTACGTAAATTCTTGTGTTGTGCGAATTTTCATTACTTTCTTGCATCGTTGATAGGATCGAATTTAGATATTCGACAAAAATATCTTTGTTTGAATGAGCACAAGTTGGTTGTAGCAATGACTTTAGGTGGAGCACCAAATTGGAGAAGCCAAGACAATCCTGACGGCTAAAACCTAATTTTGTTAAAAATGGTGTGTGCATGTGCACGCGGTTGCTACGGCTAAGCCGTCTTTATATGAGAAATAATAGATCCTATTGATATTTCGAGCCTCATGAATTATATGATACACCACTGTTAACAGATCTAAAAACCTAAATTGTTTAGTTGAATCGTTTGATTTAATGTTTTGGTACTGTAATGGAATTCGAAAAACATATCTTCATCTCATGCTTCTTATATTCTTTTCGGGCCAATTCTCCGGTTTACTCCCGTGAGAAAGATTGCGACATGATATCACAAAGCGTATAAGTAACCAGCTCTTACAGGACTACTTCTCACATTAGTTGAGCTTTGTCCTCGACAAGCAATGAAAAGATGCAAGAAAAGGGCAACAAATTTGGAAAAAGTCGAGCCATCCATCGAAAGATGAGCCCCAGGGGACATTGTCCCTACCATCTCTTTTTCACAATCAATTCATATCCAACGCGTAAGTCACCCGTTCATGCAACTCATGAATCTGGCGTATCTTCACCTGTCATGTGAAGACTGATTGAGTTCAAGGCTATACTACCTCTCTTGATCCCGGTTTGAATGAGTAAATGATCACATTAAGATTCTAAAGACCTCCTAAAACAAGAAGGCCCCGAGTGCTTATCTGTGCAATGTACCTGTCTTATCTAAGCAAAACTCTTTGTAGCGCTCTCCAGGCAAATTATACACTTGGTGCACCTGTATCTGATGGACCGAAAAGCAAATACGTTATCCCACACAGTGGATCCACAGCATTGATATCTCGAGAGGCTACAGTGACACCCTAAGAAAACAACCTAATGCCATTAAACACAACGCAAGCTCTACTTTCCAACAGGAAATCCCACAAGAATGCATGTCAGCTATCTCAAAATAGGTATGGAAAAGCACATAGGGAGTTTTCACATACCGCAAACAGCACACATTTTTCCAAGAGTAATAAGTAAAGACCTTGCATTTATGAGTATCCCCATTAACAATAATTTAAATCCCTGAAAGTCGTTAAGAATGATATCAAAATCAATCAAATACAAAACTACCTGAACCCCCCAAAAGGGGCCATCCTATTCAAGCATCATGGCACAATTGGCCACACAAAAGAACAAAATCCATGGTGTGATGCTCTGTCTTTCCTAGAGAAACAAGACATTATGTCCCCCAGAAAAGTATACGACTCAAGAATTGGCTATCCTCAGTGGCACCAAGTTACAACAGCATAAGACAGCCTTCTTGCCTTTGAAAGAGTGAACAGGAGCATCCTGAGTTTTCATGGGAAACACATGTTCAGAGGCCAGAAGAATCTCAGGCAGTTGGCTTTAGAAAGGTACTATGCTCACTGGAGTAGACTCTTGCATCCTTCGATATACTGTGCCTGCAAATTTAACACAGATTGACCAGAAGGTGTAGAAGCAATATTCCGCAATGCACCATCAAATATGGCATTCTGAAACCTGTCATCTTCCACCTTCTTAAGGATCTCCTGAACCACCTTAAAATCCAATCCACCAATCAAAGCTAACTTTCCAATAACTTCACCAAAGTGGTTTGGTGCTTTAGGCAAGTCAATCCCCATGTCATCCAAAATAGAGGCATAGAGCAAACACCCAGTCCCTACGTCTCTAGATGAAACGACTTTCTTGGCAAGCAGGAACTCGAGGAGCCTACCAACGGGTTCAACACAGGGCGGGCTTTTCTCTAGAGCAAGAGAAATAGCTTCCTTGACAACTTCAGGGTAGTAAGCTGGAGCATTAAGTTCTTCCACACACTGCAACGCTTCATCCAAAATCAATACACTAAAGTACTCCTCAAGAAGAGATGACGTTTTTCTCTTGAGATCGTCCATGTTCAACTTCGCAGCAACGGGAGCTGCTGGCTTCTCAAGAACAGGTGATGTAGATGCAATGGGAACAGATTTAACAGGTGCAGGGACTTGGGATACAGTTTCAGCGCCAGAGACAAAATTTGAAGGACGAGAAAGAGGGGCACTGCTGCCTTGTAACAGTGCACTAGGCCTACCACTAATAAGGCCACCGCTACCCTGAGGCAACAATCGAGGGTTCAGCGATGGCGACATTCTAGCAGATGGCTGGATCCGCACAGAAGGTTGTGTGCCTGATCCATTGCCCCTAGGCATTGACCGGGTCCTAGGAAATTCCCAATTGTCATTGTCTATGCCAGGCATTCCAGGCATCTTCCTGGTTCCAGGCATGCCGGGCATCATCCCTCCAGTGCCAGGTCGGGAACCTGGGTAAGCCCCAGGACTCGTGCTCCCTGGCAACTCAGAAGCAACCCCACGGCCACTTCTCATGCTTGCAGTTGCGCCTGGACGTAAACCAAGAGTTTTTTCTGCTTCCGAATGGATTTCAGTAATAGTCTTTGCTTTAACCTGTACAAGAGAATACAGAAACATCACAGTCAAAATTTGGGTGGACATGTTAATTATTCAAAAAGCACCTCCAAGTAAGCTTCCCAGGCCTAACTCTCTGAAGGAAGGAGTGATGGAGCTGGTAATAAGAACGAAATCTAGACAACGAAAGGAGAAAAAGAAATCCAAAAAAAGAAAAAAAACAGCAATTAACATCTAAAATGTCACCTCTTCCCGCCTAGGAATCCAGTTATTCGCACGCAAATCAACAACATCTTTAACCAAGAACCTCATTCTTGGAGCCAGCTGAGTGTTGGTTGTTAAGTCTTTCAACCGATTAAAATATACATCATTTATACGCCGTGCTTTTGGGCTCTCATCAAGCTGCTTCCCAATGGTCTTGAAAAACTGGCAAATAGCCTCAACATTCTCCTCGGCAGGACACGTCTTATTATCAATTCCTAGAAGCTCCTGGTTCATTGAGCAGACAAGGAGTCACCTCAATACAATTATAGAAGTTAAAAAGAACTGGATAAGTAAAATGTTTTATCAAAACCTGAACAATGTGGTGAACGATTTTTTCAGGGACCATCTTCTGCTTCAGAAGCTCCCCAATCAATCTGATGTTTCCCAACGTTCGAAGTTTGAGCATCCTCTCTTTTTCACTTCGCTCAAGCTCTTGCTCAGGGGCAGTCAGTTGTCTTAACTCTTTCCTTAGATTTTCAGCACCTTCAAATGCCTCCTGGCAGTTATTTAGAAGTACTCGCTTGAAAGTGATATCCTTACCGTCTGGTTCATCAGAGGGAAAGGGGGGCAGCCTTTCATTGAGATCAGAGCACAGACGAGCATACATGGGGCAGAATGTGGGCTCCAGCACTGATTTTTCGAAAATAAGCTGTATTACGCCCTGTATTGCGAGAAAAACTTAAGTTTTCACGATAAATAGGAATGCAAGTACGAAAATGGAGAAAAGAAAATGCAGGAACCTTCAAAATATCTGCCGTGGTTATTCCAGAGTCAATGAGCTGACCCTTGAGTAGATCAAACTTCTCAGGAGTCAGCTTGTTCAGAATCCTGAAAAGAAAGTACTATCCACTGTAAGAGTCAATCCTAACTGGGATACATGTCTAAAACAACCAATGCAATTGCTTCGACTAATCTCCATGAGGAATGCAAAGAGGACCTGATAAGGTTGCATGTCAAGAAACACAAGTAGAAAGTCGATACATGAAATTAGTTAGATCACATACTCAAGCATGGAAAGATGGAACATGGTTAGGGGAGATAACAAACAGGAACCACAATCTGATCTCCACTAATAATTTATTGCATACAAATTAGAATCGTCGACACCGCCATAAGCCTGAAAAAATGAGGTCGATGCATAGAAAATCCCACACTAGCAATGAAAATGTTAATGGACGAGGAAAGTTTGAAAAAACGACGCTCAAAAGAGAATATCAAGATCAGTCAATCACATAGAAAGCAACTGGGTACAGGAAGTACATAAAAAAGAACAGTAATTCTCATTGACATTATCTTGGAGTACCTATACTGATAGACGGGCATAGAGGAATTAAACATTATGACACAGAAGTAAAAATACTGAGAAGGCAAGGTAAGAATTTGCATGCTTATGAATCCGAAACGCATATATGAGATGGTCCTTCTAAAGATCATGAAATGCAGATAACTTGCAAAAAATAATGCCGAGTTGTGAGTCATGATAAAAAAATCCTATGATGAAATCACTCGAGAGTTAATTTGTCCGGCTCGAAAATCTGCCAAGCAAATTATTTGACAGACTATTATATTAACTATCCATGCTTATATATTCAAGAAATGAGGACCTTTTTTTTTGTCGAAAGAAATGAGGACTTCAAAACCTATCCTTTTGGCTATTTGTAATCCTCGAGGATCGGGAGCTTAATCACATTGAGAATGCGACCACGCCAAACATCAGCAACCAAAAATGACACTTCAGAAAAAATAAAACTGTACTGTACATATATATTAAGTAAACCGCAAAGAACAATTCATTTGATAAACATTGTAAAACATGAATTACCCACCCCTTTACAGTCTTCATCACACGGTCTTTTTCTGACAGATTACCCCTTCTAGCTGACCAAGGCACTTCAGCTTTAACAAGAGCAGGAGCAGGACCTCCCTGGTCAACCGATCAACATAAGTGAAGCCAAATGAGACCACACATAGTCAGAAACTCATTTTAATAAGCAGGTGAAGCATTCATTGATGCATTTAACGAAGGCATAATCTGATCTTTGATGGCACAACATTGTTCTTTCATAGGCAAGTGAAACCTCATACAGCACAATACTCCTGGCTTCTACAACCCTCCCCCAACCCAAGGATAAAAAGGGGAAAAAAAGGAAACACACCACTTGCACAAGTGCATGTATGCATGGAAAAGGGATGCAAGCTTGATCCCACTATCCTCATAAGACTTGACCAATATTTCAACTAACTATCAAAACAATATTTCTTCCAACTTTGACAATCAACAAGGTATCATAGCAGAGACGGGAAGTTAAAATAACAACATGACATAAAGTTGACAAAGATCTCAATTTCAGAAGCAAATAAGAGGTGTATCATAATTACTTAAGGGAGACAAGAAAACACATACAACCTATCACTGTGGCCAAGAAACGATAGCTTTTGTGAATCATACTTCTCTGGCTATTAGATAAGAACAACTAAGATACACTTCAAGAAAGTGAGTTGTGCGAGTTTAGCCAGAAACTAATGCTACCTGATTAGAAGAGATCTGTGCTCTTGTGAACTGGGAGTTGAGTTGCTCTGAGTGATTAAATTGGTTCAGTTGCTGCTGCCTAGAGTCAGATCGGCCACCAAACTCTCTGTTTTCCCTGATATTCTCCCAGGACCTCTCCTCCACAGCAGCAGGAACCTGGGGATTCCGACCACGCCAGTCACGATTGTCTGGCTGTGAAAAGCGATTAAGCATTTGATTTGGCGCCTGTTGGGGAAAGAACATATTGTTATATGGGGTAACAATGTAATTATCACTCTGTCACTAAAGCTAAAGCAACACCAAATACAAAACCTAGAGCTTTCCAGCATTAAACCATTTAAACACCATTAGGAGATCTCCTCGGAATGCAATCGACAGAAAAGAAACAAATCGCTTGTCCACTTTATCTCCACCAAGAAAGGAAGGAAAAGGCAAAAGAAAGTGAAAAATATGAAGGAAATCTTACATTGTTCTCTCCACTTCCCCAGTTTTGATCTTCGCCAAAAAACTCAGCTTCAATTTCCCTTTTTATCTTCAGAATATCATCACACACCTCATTAGCCTACAAGTACACAGAGTAACAGTAAATGATTATATTAAGATCTTAATATGAAATTCAACTTGAAACAGACAGGGCAAAATAGAGACTTGACATCTTCTCGGAAGTCAATGACCATTCATAGCTTTTACCTTGACACCAAAGGTGACTTCCACCGAATGCTTTAGTAAAAGTGGACTTAAAAAATTATAAATACTTCTAGACATCATTTTCAAGAAGAAGGATACACATGGCACAAAGGAAAATTAGATTAAGATGAACAGAAAATATACACTGCTCCTATGGAAATAAAACAAACGACTCCATCAACATAGGGAAACAAATAGTTGAAAAGGAAAGATAGATCACTACCTCTCTTAGCTGTAACAGCTGGTCTCGGGTGTATCTAACACGTTCTTGACCCTCAAACCGTGAGTCCCCAGGCTGGGAGCAACAGAGGATAATATTTCAGGAGCTTGTTATAGTAAAACTTATCGTAAACTTGCAACTTATCATGTATTAAGGTAGCAATGTAGCAATAAAAAACACCTCAATCAAGACAAAGCAGTATAAATAGAAAAACATGCAGCTTTAGCATAATCCAGCCACAGTATTTTCTAAGCTGCTTTACACCGATACGAGTAGTTAAAAAGTAGGACCTAAAGAAACGTTCTCACAAACTATAACAACTTCCAACCTTGACAAGGAAGTACAGAATTGACTTTATCTCTTAGCTCATTTAGACCTACTTCCCAAAATTAAAGACATAAAACGAAAACAAAAACTTACTACACTATCCAGGTACTCTAAAAGCATTACACAAGAGTGAGGTTTACAAGATGCCGGGTGGAAGCTCACAAAAGTATTGCTATTACATATGTCACAAGAAAGAGACAAAGTGGCCTTAATTGCCAGGTTGATAAAGAGACGGCATATAAACAATAGAAGCCATACAAAAAAAGTGCAGGAAGTCATTATGGAAGCTATGATAACACATCCCTGGTGATTCATTCCTTCTCTCTGATCTAAAGCAATAAGAAAGATCTGCTACGTCGACTAGCCTGTGATATCTCACTATTTTTCTGAAAACGAATATAACACCAATTCAAGAACAAATAAAAGAACAGCCAAAAATTGCTAACACAAGAACTTGTGTACCAGACACTTCACTTAAAAAGCTCAGACATTGAGGAAATTTCGCAGGAGACCCGATAGCCACAATTAACCAACGTCGGGGGTTCAATAATTCCATTTCAGACAACGGTGTTCTCTTACCTCATACCTCAACCGAATCAATTTCTTGGAAGCAATTCAAAGTCAAACAGTCGAACACACTACTGCATAAACCAACACACGAACATAACCATCCCAACCCGATACACTAGCAAGTAAAAACAATTTTTTTATGGTTGCCCACCCAGAAAGTTCACAATTCCCCACACGATCCAGAAACTTTCCAATTCCATCACACATTCCATCACCTCCCGGCGCTTCTCCTAATCTAGTCGCATCGGGATTGAATCCCGCGAAGGACATGACGACCGAAAGATAAAAAGTTCGAAACGGGACACGGGACAAAAGTCGAGCGTCGAGCGCGACCTTCGCGGCGGAGGCGGCACCGCCATGAGCACGCGAGAGAGGGAGATTGGAGGAGAGGGACCCGAAGGCGAGAGGAGCCGCCGCCGCCGCCGCCGAAGAAGAATCGAAGCGAGGTCTGCCGCTGCCTCGACCGCCACCAGGTCTCAAGCTCAGGACCGCCGGATCACTCTGCTGCATCACTCGAGATCTTCCCTCGCTGGAGCGGCTACAATCAATCAATCAATCCCACGCGCGCGCACCCGCCCGATCGATCAGACCCACGAGCAGCTGCTGCTTGCTGCTGCCGCCGCCGCCGCGACACGGGAGAATCAACCGTGCTCCCGATTCAGCTGCAATAGACCGCTGAATCTGGGATTGAAGAAGAAGAACGAGAAGGAGATCAAGAACAAAGATTGAATTTTTAGAGAGAGAGAGAGAGAGAGAGGAGCTTGTTTCTCTCTCTAGAGCTGGGGACAGGGAACGGGTGTCGGGAGGGGCCGGGGACGAGATTTATAAAACCCTTGTCCGAGCCCGAGTTGGAGTCTGGGACTTGATGAGAGAGAGAGAGTCGCGAGTTATAATTTTGTCCTGTCCTCTTTTTTGCTATGTAAATAAATAATATCTGATTTTTAGTTTAGTCTCATAATTACGCCGGAAAATTATACATATCGCTATTTTCTGTTTTTTTTCTTTGTTAATGCGTGTGATGTGCTTTGATGAGCGGATTTTTTTTTTTGAAGGCGATCTTTTCAAATCGGGATATGTTCATCGGCGGAAGTTCCAAAATTTGTCAGGAAAGAATAATTGAAAACTTGCAATTTCTAGTAAAGGAATTTGGGGGGTGAGGACGTCAGTATCACGGCTGCGGGGTTCGACTTCCGCGCTCTACAAGAAGCGAAGCAAAAGCCTGAAAGTGAGAAGAATTAGAGATAGGTCAGACAAAAAAATAATAATAACTTGTAAAAAGTGCAATCAAGTCCTAAAACTTGTCAAATTAATGCAATTGAGTCTTTCTGTGAACTATATGACTTTTGCTAATATTTTCTCTCTCCTATGTGGCGATGATGTGGCAAAAACACGAACCATAAGGCTAAAACGACTTCTTTTTGGTCCAAATCTAATTTTTAATACAAATTTTGTTTAAATTAAGTTTAAAAATAAGCTAAAATTATTATAAAAAATAGACCGCCCCACTATCGATGTTGGGAGAATGGTCGACAACTACAAGGGCTTGAAAGCCCCCGCACATATTTGGGCAAGGATCATTAACCTATGTTAGATCGGGCAAGGGTCATTCAGGCCAAGGGCCACCACTGGCGGGGGTTGGTCGCTAGTGACAGCCCTCCCCCGATCTAGAGGAAGGTGGCGACCCTTGCCCAAATTTGGCCGGTGACCCTATTGACCATTCCTTCACCATCGCCAGACCTCATCGCATGGTTTTACTTCCTTATTTTTTTAAAATTTTAGCTTATTTTTTTAATTTAATTTATATACAATTTGTATTAAAAATTAGATTTGGACTAAAACGACATCATTTTAACCACCTCATCGCCACCTATGATAGAGAAAATAGTAAAAAAAAAGTCATGTCAGCATTTTCCGTTAGCCAAATTGGATGGAGTTAATGGAATGACTCGATTGCACAAATTTGATAGATTTTAAAACTTGATTACACTTTTTGCAAGTTTTAAGATTCAATTGCATTTTCGTGACAGATTTTGAAATTTCTAATACACATATCCCTTCCAAATATAATAAATATAATAATGATTGACTATTATTGCCTCTGTGGAAGCGCTTGTCCCCCAAAAAACCTAATTTTCTTTCGGAAAGCGGTAATGTGTGTTCCATGATCATGGCACGATTTAAGCTATAATTTTTACCATTTTCAAAAAGACGTGCATATGTATATATACTGTTTTTAGTAATGTGCGATATTGTCGTAATTTTATACAAGTTTGAAATATTGAGAATACAAATGTGTAACGCATAATAATCGAGAAAATACGAAAAGTTAATGCATATATCAGGGGAAGATGTAATTTTCTATAGATGTCAATAGCTATATCTTTCGAAAAATTGCAATTCTTCAGCGTTAAATGAAATCGAAAGAAGCTTGAGCGAAAACGTCTTGTAAAGAGGAGTTGACATGATATTCGTGAAAGCTACAAGATTTTGAAAAGGTAAGGGAAAATGATACAATTGATTCTACAATTTTGGCCTAATATGCAATGTCATCTTTGAATTTTTAATTTGTTCAATATGGTCCCTAAATTTTAGTCAAATGTGCAACGTCCTCCTTGAACTTTTGATTTGTTCAATGCGACGCTTGAACTTTTTGTACATATTCAATTTAATCATTGGACTATACGAAAATATTCAATGTTGTCCCTAAAATTGAGTTAATGAAAAAATAACATTATATGTTTTCATATAATTCAGAGATCGTATTAAACAAATTAAAAATTTGTAGACGACATTACATATTAGGCTAAAATTTTTAAGACTATTTGTGTCATTATCCCACAAGATAAAGAAGTTAGAAGACTCTTGCCAGTATCATGGAAGGACATCTTTCAGGGCAATCCACTAGGGGTGAGCATAGTCCGGGTGGGCGGTTCCCACCCCGGAACCGTGGACCGCCCGCTAAGGACCGGTTCCAAAAAATTGGAGCAGAGAACCACCCGTCGGTTCCATGGACCCACCTGAGAACCGAATCTCCGGTCCCATCCGGTTCCCGGGAGGGTCCATGGAACCAGTCCCACCAAGTTTTTCTGAACACATCAAAAAATGGACTAGTCTAATTCTTGCCCGTTGGTGAGTTGTGTTCTCCACATGCTACTTTGACTTACCTTAATGCACATGTGTGATATATCTTCAGTATACACAGAACACCCTTACTTTGGCATTTGATTTCACTAGTATGATGCAGAAGTCATGTACTTCCATCTAAAATGGTCTGATGCAGAAGTGCCCTCTACAACTTTCCAAGCTTCTACATAACCTGCTCAAGCCTCAAGAGTCAAGAGGCTCTCATTTAAGCTAACAAATTGAATGAGCCTAAAACCCTCAGAAACAATGACAACAAAATTTGCCACAAAGTTTAATTACACATTACAACAAGATTCGTCACAAAGTTCACAACTTCACAAGCTTCACATCAAATACATCCATAGCCTATATTATATATCACATGTGGGAGTTTGCCACAAGTTCACAATAGTTAGCAAGCAAACAAAATAACAACTCTCATATTTTCTTTTTTTAAATATTTTTTTGGTTAGATTTTTTTAATTAAAAATTAAAAATATATATATTATTATTATATTACCGGTCCGGTCCGGGTGGGCGGATGGGCAGTTCCACAACGGGAATCGGGAACCAGACCGGTATCCACCGGTTCTAAAAAATTGGAACCGGGAACCAGACCAGTTTTGGGCGATCCCGGGCAGTCTGGGCGGATCCCGGTTCTTTTGCACACCCTACAATCCACCCATTTCGCCTTATTCATTTGTTTTACAAAAAATGATTAAAATATTTTTCTAAAATTTATTATTGATATTGCTTAAAAAAAAACGAATAAACAAACAATATTTTTATTGTTCACGATAACATTAATGAAAATATTTTCATTAATTAATAATTATTTCAAGCGATAAAAGTAATCATTTTTAGAAAAATATTTTCCTTGATTTCCGGCTAAACAAACACATCATAAATTTTCCAATGGAAAAGCAACTTAATCAGTTTTCGAGTATGGGTTCATGGATTGGTGCACCGAACATTCCACAGGCAAATCTTTACGACGAGGCTTGGGGCTTATTTGGTTCAGTATTTGGAATGCTTATTTGGGCTCTAAAGTCCATTGGCCAAATACAAATGGCCTTTGGCAATTTTTTTGGAGTACTTTGGGGAAATGCAATTGCATTTCCAAAGGCTTCTAAAGTCTTTTAGCTCAAGGTAGGTCTAGAGGCACTTTGGCAAATTGCATTTTCGAAATACAAGGTGCACTGTTCATGCACACTGTTCATCTTCTCAAGAAACCAAATCGGAGGCCGGCGACCGCCGCTTGAGGGGTCCGGCGACCGCCGCCTGGGGTCGCCAGACCTCAGGTGGCGCCTAGGTCAAGCGACCCCCAAGCAGCGGTCGTCGAAGGTTGGCCGACCCCCAGGCGGCAGTGGCCAGACTTGCGCGACCCAAGCGACGCCACCTGAGGGTTGCGTGACCCTTAGGTGGTAGTGCCGCCTCGCCTGAGGTCGTGCGACCTCAAGCAAGGCTGGCCATCGGCTAGATCTGACGGTTGATCGGCGAAGGTTGGCCGACGGCCATTTTGACCTACCAAGGGTGGCTGAGTTCTCTACTAATTTTTTTTTTTAAAATATGAGCAAAAATCCTTCACAAAATTAGTTTTTACCAAACAGTATTTAAACCAAAATTTCTTTCAAACGCGATTTTAAAATATACATTACCAAATACTACTTGCATTTCGAAAAACCGTTTTAACTCAAAGACCTTTGCATTTTGCCAAAGACATTTCCCCAAAGCCAAGCCAAACCAAACAGGCCCAAGAACCTCCCATAGTTCAACAGTAGCAGATCACAGTTATAAACAAATGGTTGGAGCCAGCCCAGGGTAAATAAACAATTAAAGCATGATAACACACCAGAAGAGTCCTACCTAAAGAGCAATATACAAAATAAACAACAACAGGGCATAACAACAAACTTAAGAAGTAACTCTCGAGGCGTCGCGTTTATGACAAATCCTAAATAACAATGACCTGAATTCCTGAAAAAACAAGAAAATGATAAATGATCGGAAACTAATCGAATACAAAACTTTAAACCCGCAAACGGGCCAGTCATCTCGAGCATCCGGGGAGGGGATGAACCACAATCCAAAGTAAGATTATCTTTTCAACTTTCTCCTAAATAAAACATGGATCTTATGACCTCAATATACAACTCAAAAATTAACTTTGCCCTCTGCAGCTCTGCCTTATGGCCCTTGGTACAAAGTTGCTAGCCTCAAAAAAGAATTGCCAAAAAGCATCCTGCAAATCTGCATACGAGACACAAATTTGACAGAGGTGAGAGGGTCCGGACTACTCATGCGATATTATAGAATGCTCACTGGAGTAGACCCCTGCATTCCTCAATATCTGACGCCTGTGAACTCAGTACTGCTCGACCAGAAGGATCAGAAGTCACAATCCTCATTACAGCATCAAGTATGGCTTTTTGGAACCTGTCATCTTCCACCTTCTTCAGGATCTCCTTAATCACCTTAAAGTCCAATCCACCGACCAAAACTAGTTTCCCAACAATTTCACCAAAGTTGAGGGGCGCTTTTGGTAAATCAATGCCCAAATCATCCAACGTAGAGGCGTACAGCAGACATCCGGTCCCTACGTCTCTGGATGAAATAACTTTCTTGGTCAACAGGAACTCCAGGAGCTTGC